AGCAGAGAGCTGGACATTTTATCCTTCCTGTTTCTATTGTAATACAAATTCTCATATTGCACCCTGTTATACAGTAAATCTAGTAAACTCTTCAGTCTTTGGGTCCATCATCACTGCCATGTGTCTGCAGTAATATTGTCTTTATTTTGTAGTCATGATCCAAATGTTTAAACTCTAAATGTAATCCTGAACTATGGGAAAAGATATAAAATATCACAATTGTGACAATGCCACCTTAAAACATGACATCTTAAATGTTTGTACAGCTGTTATTAAAAGCAGATACAGAATATTTACACATAAAATGTGATAAAGTTATTTCCTGGGAAAAAGGTCATAGGGGTTTATTCAGTTTCTTACAAGTTTTAAGCAGCAGGTTAGTAAACTTTCTGGGAGGGAGATTGGAAGTTATTCAACAGTGGAACATTTGCTTAATCTTGACTCTTTTATTGTGAAATCTGTGAGACTGCATTAACTCCACCTGGCAGAGTGAGCCTGTTGCATAATCACTTACAATGAGAGAGGACAGATTGGCTCTGGCTGTAGTCCCGTCTGTCGGGCTCAGTTTACAGGACCAACATGTTACAAAGAGCGAGCAACAATAATCTCTTTCCTTCTACTTTCCCCCTCTCTCGACGATCTAAATAAAATAACTAAAAAGAAAATACTCTCAATTAATTTATGTGTTTATTTCCATTTTTCCCCACCTTTTATTTTCTTATTTTGTTCTTACACACATTTTCAGTATCTTTGACAGCATATTGGTCCTCAGTTCTTTTTTTGGGTTTATGCAACCAAGTGGTTTATGCAAGTGGCAACCCCCAGGGCTGGCTCCATAGACCCCCATGGTAAAAGGGCAAAAATAAATATGTTTACAGCCTGATACAAAAACAATTTTGGTCTCTATAGCTAAGTAGATTTATTTTTCACATGACAACAGGTTATAAAGTGAAATTCTTTCAAGCTCTTCAGAAACCTATAGTGATGTCACAGAGACTATGTCCTTGTTTTAACACAGTCTAGGGCTTCAACTCTGTCAGAGCATACACACAAACCTCCTCCCCCCACACTTTGCCACTCAGAGCTGTAGAAACAACAATCTCCCTGGGGGTCTTGGCATGGGGCTACCCTTGGGGGGGCTTGGAGCCTCGCCATGGGGCCTGTTGGAGTGAAAGTGTGTGTGTGTGTGTTTGTGTGTTTGTGTTTGTGTGTGTGAGAGAGATCATCATGGTCTCACGGATCCTCATGTGGACCCACCCCATACTGCATTCATTACATCTTGATGTACTTAGGTGATGTCATATCTGTGTGTGTGTGTGTGTGTAGGTGGGTTTTACTAGTGATGTGAGGACTTCTGTTTACATAGTCACATTGTGGGGACTCGCCTTTCTTATGGGGACAAAACTCATATCATTCAGTTTTAGAGTGAAGACTAAGGTTAGGGTTTAGGGTCTCCAGGGAATGAATGTAAGTCAATGTAACGCCCCCCCAATATGATGGAAACAAGACTGTGTGTGTGTGTGTGTGTGTGTGAGTGAAAGTACACTTCTGTCCTTGCTGTGTGATATAACCACAACTTTGAGAGACTTGGTGTAATTCTCTACTTATCTAGTTTACACAGAGAGAGAGAGAGAGAGCGTGATACTATGAGTAAGAGAGATAAAGCATGTCTGTTCTCTTGTTTCAACAACTTAACTCATGTGTGCTGAAGGAGGTAAAAACTCCAGCAACACTTGTAGAATAAAGAACAACTTTATTGTGAGTTACCCAAGGCAACTTACAATTGCCATGTGTCAGAGGTCACATGCCTCTGTAGCAACTAGTTAAGTGTCTTGCTCGGGGATAAATTGGTTGATATGTCACAGCAGGAATTGAACCCAGGTCTCCCACATCAAAGGCCAAAGACCAAATCTTTTCCTCTGCCCCATCGCCACAATATATATGAATGTGTTGTCTGATGGCCCTGAGGAAGGCCACAAGACAAAATGCTTTGGTCTCACAATACAGTAGCTCTTTATACTACAAGCGTTGCTGGAAGTCGGTGAAGTTGTGCCAGAAATCCCTACCCTGAAACTCAAAACCTTAACATCTCACGTTGTTTGCTGGTCATTTTGCTAGTGTGCAGTTTCATTGTGTGTTGCTGCTTCAGCGGAAAAGACGCCCGTCTGTCTTTGCAGAGAACAAAGCACACCCCAGTGGATGAGTAAAGAGGGAATGGGTTTAATTTGCCTTGCAGGCATCCCCCAGGAGCGGTAAACAAGATGTGTCTGCAGTCTAACCTGCAAACAGCCAACGTCTGCATTCTCCATTTGTTAAATCCTCATTACCTCGCCGTAATTATGCTCAGTGCCAACTCTGTTGGGGCCACCAAGAAGTGCCTCCAAACTTTATGCTCCAGCAGGTCTCCACTGAGCCAGCAGTAAAAATGTGAAGGCCCATTTAAATGTCTAATTATCCCTCATAATGCAGAGACTTTATAGCTCTGTGGAGAAAACAAACCAAATGTTGTACTTGATTGACCCAGATACTGCTGCTGCGGCAGTAGAAAAGATATGTGACATTAGCCGAACATCATGTCATCTGGAAATGTTAACTTCAATGTTTAGAAACTTAATAACAAGACATCAGTAAACTACACAGTATGCTTATGTGATCACTTCATTTCAAACAAAACCAAAGCGAGGTAAAACATATTAAAATTGGTCAGAGACCAATGGTTGTATATCGCCATCATGTTTTAATTCATCATGTCCTGTGCAACACATATTTCCTCACACTGTGAGCTGAATGTTATAGAAGCATATTACTGTAATATAGATTCATTAATTTAAGATTGTTGATGATGCTCTGCTCTGTTGCAGACCCACCTTTTGATTTAGCCCAGTCATCATGAAAAATCATGCCCTAAACAAAAGCAGATTTAAAAATGATTAAAATAACTCTTGCATTGCAAATAATGTCAGTTGCGAGATGCAGATTGCAGCACTGACTTTTAGAATGACAATTATTCAACAGGCAACTGACTAAAAGTCAACTTGTCTGTATGAACAATAAACAAAACCTGTTTTTTAAATCAGTCCACACTTGTTTGGCTGTTGTTTTTTCTGCCTGCCTGCTGCTGATCAAATGAAAGAACAGAGCCTTCATCAGGCACTCTGTCACAGCAACACATCCCTCTAATTGGCTGTGTGAGGTGGATAGGGTGGTAAAAAAAAAAAAAAAAACATTGCTAGATTTATCACTTTCACAGTGGCCTTGCAAAGCAGAGAGGGTTAAAGGGTCACAGCAGCATTGGGCAAAAAGTAACATTAACTTTTAAAATAAATTAATCTTGTATAATCTGATATTATTTATCACCCTTTGATCTTTTGTGGTGTGTTTGATGAGCATTGTCTTATCTCTGCTTATCCTCTTTATCGGAACAGTTCCGATGGTTTAATTAACATAGACTGATTCAAAGACCCGTTTAACGAGTCATTTCCCCTTCGGTCTGCTGATGTGTCAAACCAGTGAGTATCAGCCAAAGTAAACCCGGAAGCTAACACGGTTTCCTTTAAAAAATAAACCCACGCATCTTGTTTATATTTTGCAATATAATACATGTGCTGTTTTCACCACTCAGACACCTATGAAATTATGTTTTATTCTTTATTTTCCATTTGGTGACCTACATTGTATAGTAGTCTCACTATATTAGTTGGCACCAGACATAGATCCACAGATCCACAGATGCTTTTGATTTTCCATTTTCAGGTTGCTAATGTTATCATCTAATGTGAACTAAAGGCTATTACATAGTTTACCTAGTTTTTCACCCATATAGGACTTTACATGGAGGCTTATTTCATAGAAGAAGTGGCGAAAAAAAACTGTCTGTCTTTTACTCCCTGTCCCATAAAAGGATCTTGCCCTACAGATGGAGCCGCTGTGTTCACAGATGAGGATCTTAATTTGAAATCCCTAACCGGACTTCGTTTGCGCCTATTCCAGCTGGTTTGACGGTGAGAAGCTGATCCCTTCCTTTACTTTCTCCATCCAGAGCGCTCCAGAGACAGTAAATACCCCGCCAGTAAGAGGGTTACCTGCCCTGGAGCTGGCGTGTGTGTCGGTGGATTGTACGACAAGGCTAAACTACAGCGATTACTTTCCCATTAAAAGTGACGGAGCGACGGTTCTTTCTGGTAAATATCACTTTATTTGGGGAATTTGTTGTGGTACTTTATTCATGGGTTTAAATGTGGCCAGTGGTCGCTCGGTGGTCGTTGCCCACCTGTTAAATAGACCTTCTGTTTTCTATTGTGTGAACAACAAAAAGAGGAAAAACTGACTAGGATAACGTTTTATTTTTCAACATAATAGCCTCGGTTACTCCGCGTGTGACACTCCCTTTGGTTACAGCGTGCTCAACGTGCGCAGTTTCGCATGTAGGTATGGTGCAGAGAAAAACCTATTTTTTTTAATCCATGGAGAACACTTTACTCAACTTTTGAGACAGACTTGATAGTGATGTAAGCTTTTGATCAAATATTAATAACTGTTGTAGCTCAAGTGACATGAACTTGTTTTTTTCTAGTGCGTCTGGTAACACAAGTGATTTATAGCTGTATATGAGAAGGTATATTTGTTTCACTCATCCTCACTGTCACACTGTTACACTTTAGGCTGTAATGGACAATCTCACCCAGTCCAGGTTATGGTGGTCTAATTTCTAATTAGATTAAGTGTTACAGAAGCAGTCCTTTGTGGAGAACGTCCACAAATCAGAGGACAAATCAGAAATGGGGAAATATTACATCAACGTATCCAGTGACTGACATTTACTGCTACCTGTAGTGCGCCAGGAATAACTCTTCACTGTTGCCAAAGACAGGAGGTCTCAGCACTCGGCAGGGAGCCAGAGTCCTGCTGCTATCTCACACAATGTAAGTGCTGGAGCTGCACACTTTGACATTTTTATGTTGTTGTATTTTACATCTACCGCCAAATGTAGCAGTACCTGGGTTGTATTCATTTGCAAAACCAGAAGGCTCAGTTCCCTCGTCAAGCAGCCAATCAGAGTCATCTATATTAGCCTGATTGGAAATAGCTGCGCTGTATCTGTGACTGTCTGTGTGGATTAGACTGGAAAGAGAGAGATTTGTTCCACTGGTACCAATCAGTCAACCGGCCAGAGCCTTCAGGAGGACAGGGATGATCTCACAGGCTGCAGTTACATAACACTCACAAGGAGGGAGAGGGAGTTAACTAGACTTCTGCTTTATTCTTGAACTCACTATTTGTTATTTCTAATCTATGCTTCAGTAGTGATTGGACTTGGTCAGTATTTGTTTTTGATTAGGTATGCTGGTGGCAATCATGAAGCTAGGAGAGAGAGAGACGAACCAAAACCTGCTCTCAAATTAGTATAATGCTTTTTTCCTCAACACCCTGACAGAGATGAATCACTCAATGAGTATACATTGCCTCTAATCTAAGCTTATTCGTTTAGATTTACTGATAGTTAACAGTGTCTGGGTCTGAGCTAATATGGGACAGAAAGAGATAAACTGAATACACTGTCAACACATCACGACTCTAAAAATGAGAGCTCATTAAATCACAAACAAGAGGTGTATTACTTCCATATCAACCAGATAATAGACGAAATCCGCTTTACTTTTATGGTAAAAAAAAACAACAACAAACAGATTAGCAAACAAGCAAAAGACTTTTTGTGAACAATCGCGTGCTGTGCGCAGTTACGCACGATGCAAGGGACTGCGGAGGATAGCGACAATGAAAGGAGCGGTGCCGTCGTGCGTTCAGGCGCTTTCGTTTGTATATGTTTGTCCTAGAAGATGACAGAGCTCCGTGACTGACTGTCCTGCTGTAGTGGAGTCAAGCAGCAAATGGAGCCTGAGAGCAGAAACAGATGTCAGAGCAGCCTCGTTTGTGACGGATTGCATCATAAACGACCCAAATTCCAGCTTCTAGGAAAGGTGATTCATGAAGGAGAAACCACCTTAGGTTAGACATATTTTCTCCCTCATTGCTCCTTGTGGTTCAGATACGTCACCGGAAGGATGAATCATTTTGATTTATTGGAAAAGTGATTTTGTGATTTGTTTGAGTCCTTACTTCTTCAAAGAGTTGTTTGAGGGTTCAGACTTGGTTACAGAGGACAGAGTAGGCTACAGATCACAGTACAAGTGTGTGTGATTGACAGAGAGATTAGCCTTGGGATGGCTAATGGCTAAACTGTAGGACAAACACATTCATCTCATGCTTCACCAATGATCGAAAGCTTCCAATATAGGGCTATAAACAGTAAGTACACAAGTGTGTGTGTGTGTGTGAGTGATCTGATTACTTGTATCTTAAAAACTAATGTGTGTGTATTACTTTTTATGGACTTTGTGATAGCTAGATGGTTACTTTACTTTTATTTAGATTTTTGTCTTAATTAATCTAGAAAAGTAGAAATTTGTGCACATAAGTAAAAACAAAACTAACCAAAAAGTACAATGATTAGATGAATAACTTTTGTAAACCTATTATACAATATTCAGTAACTAACCTTCAGCCTGAGCACGAGTATGTGAGTGTGAAAACGTCATTGTTTGAATCCCCTCACTAATGATATAAAAAAAAAACAACCTCACTCACATTGAACTGAAAACTCAACGTTTGTGTCTCTTTAGCTCCATTTCAGCCTTCAGCCAAACAACACTAATGATTTTGTTCATGTTTTCACAGCTGTAAAAGAGCTTGCAGGTCATAAAGCAGAACATTTACCTCATTTACTTACATTTCTGAGTGAAAACAGGAGATAAAATGATGTAAAATAGTGCATTAGATTGGCTGTGAAACAATGTGATGATTGGAGCTGTAAAAAGATGTCAGTAGTTAAAATGAATAAATGAAAGTTTTGACAATTGTGTGATGACCAGCCTGTACAGTTCATATATCTAAGTCAGATCCAGAGTGCTGCGGATACATTTTCAAACAATAGCCTACTTAAAAGAACATTTTGACAATCTAATATTTAGACCTTCATCGTCTACACCAAAATGCATAAATCACTGGCAGAAACATTTACTGTATAATACTGAAGACATCAGAATAAATACTAGTTAAAATAGTACATTTTGCTTCACTTTCCAGGCGTACACATCGAAATTAAACAATCAATCCAATTTTTGATCATTTGTAACGGTTAAAGATCGTCCACCTATTTCATAGACTCCTAACTCTGACATTATAATAGTTTGTATTGTGGCTGCAAACTAACAATTGTGTTCAATTGATCATTTTGTCTGTGAAAGTTCTGTCTTCAAACGTCTTGTTTTGTCAACAGTTCAAAGATATTAGAGACCAGAAAATGTTCCACATTTTAACCATTAATCAACTATCAAAATAGTTGAACAGTATCTTTCATCAGTCGATTAATTGTTTCAGCCCTAGTTTGTACAGCAGAAACAAAAAGAGGACGATTTTTCCACTCCTCCCAAATCACACAGCTCATGCAATCTGTGCAGCTTAAGATCTTTGGCTTCCAGGTAAACGAGATGCAACACGGGCCCAACTGTTTAACGCCGTGTGCACATGTCTGGTTTTGTAATAGGAGGAAGAGCGATGAAGATGTGTGGTTTGTCGTCCTACAGACTTTAACAGACAGATTTTTGATATAATTTTCCTTATTTGGATGAACTTTTCCTTTAAGGCATAGCTGAAGATCAGCTCACGCACACCCGATCCTCCGTTTTAATCAATCATCAACGTGAAATATTTTTACATCAGAAACTGTCACTGTCTGCAGGACTCGCTCCACCCTTCTCCACAAGTTCTGACTGGTTTGGCTCTACACTGGTATTATTTTTATGTGCATTTGCATTGTTGTGGTCATACTTTTGTGTTAAAATGAGGGCTGACAAGTTAATGTGTCCTTTTTTATGACTCTCTGAGGCTTCAGTCAGACTGAGCTGTTTAAAATGTCATCTTTAACAGACTCTGTGGTTCAGATGTTCCTACGGAGAGATGGTGAGACTTTTTCTTTCTCATCTGTGGTTGAAAGATGTCTTTGCATCATGGTGTTGGAGGGAGAGAGAGAAACAAGTGGAAGGACACGGTGCTATAAATACACTCAGATACTCTAATAGATACTAAAAAGTTTTTAATTAACAATTGGAGAAGTTCTGTGAGTTCCAGAAATTACATTTTCTATTGGATCAGTTTTACTTTAACCTGTCTTGTGTGTGTTTTGTTTTTGGTTTTTTTTTAAATCAATCTTTTAGTTAAACCCAACCATCTCCAATTTTAACCAAAACCTAAACATTTACTTTACCTAATCTTAATTTCAAGGCTAACAGCCAAACAAAAGTACTTATAAAAAACATGTGTTTAGTTTATAAACTTTGCTGCAATGTTATAGATGAGCTACCCATCAGTATATGAATTATTTTAATTATTATTGCATATATGAAAGTTATGTTTTTCCATTTTTCAACATGAATAATAAGATAAATAGATAAATATTAGTGTGTTAGCATGTTAACATTTGGTAATTACTAAACACAAGGTACAGCTGAGGCTGATGGGAATGCCATTAGTTTTGTATAAACCCAATTATATAGTGGACACGAAATGTTGACTGGATGGTGGTGCTGGTTGAAAGATAGGCCTACAAGGATCAAAGTTATTACGTTCATCCTCTGGGGACTACGATGTGCAGTCACGTGCTCCTCGGATGGTCCCATTTCCCGAGCTGTGAAGTCGTTCTTCCGACTTTGGTGTGCGTTCAGGTGCCTTTAAGCTGGAATGTGGAAACAGCATGGACGCTGCTACAAAGATGTGTTGGATTAGCATTATCAGAGCATATAAACAACACAAAGACGATTTCGTGACAGTGAAGAGCATATAAATGAAATGTTAGCAAAACATTTATATGCAAAACGTGATTTTTGCACCATTAATCAAAAAGTTTCTTATCATTAACCGTGTTGCTCGCCATGTTTTTACGTGTATGTTGGCAACAACTCTCTTGTACCAAAATTTCTTCGACTTTCCAAGTTGTTGTTCCGACTTTTACGTTAATTTTCCCAGTTGGGTAATAATTTTTTCCGATTATTCCGACACCGCATGAATGCACAGAAAGTCAGGGCTCACCAAAGACGGTAGGATGCATCTTCTGGGAACCATGAATGTCAAAATGTCATGAGAATCCATCATATAGTTGTTGATATATTTCAATCTGGACCAAAAGGGCCGTGCTGCTACCACGGATAAAATACGTCCTTAAATTAAAAGTCCAATCGACAACTTGTCAACAAGTCAACAGACTTGTGTTTATCTGATCACGGTTGTGTGTCAGCTCGAGCTTATTACAACAGACGTGCAGTAATCGTCTCTGATCTTAAGCCTCACTCCCTCCTCTGGAGCCACTTACAACAAACTCATTACTCAGAACTTTAAGTCTCTTTTTATATACAAACGTTTGTTTACATTTAGCAGTTGTTTCAATAGTATTTAGATGAATAGATCTCAATGTAAGCAGCTAAGCGAACAATGAAACATAGAAAGTGAAATACTGCTGAAACCACATTTAAATGTAACATCTTAGAAACATTTCAAACAAATTAACCTCAGTTTTGAACTAGAAATATAACCTAAATGTCTTCTGACCTGAAAATCACCCATTCACTGCTTACTGGGTGGGATCTTTTGTGTGGGAGACAATAATTGCGCATTATAAAGCTTTTTAAAAGCATAAAGTACCTTTTAGAGTCATTAATCTGTATTTTTCTTTCTTTTCCGCTCACTTTAAGTTGTATGAAAACCCTATCGTTTATTATAAATGCAGCAAACAAGTAATAGTTTACCTTATAAATTAACTGCATTAAAAACAAGATTATTCCAGCTGTGAATTTTCTGGTCTTTTTATGTAACAGCATATTTTTTGTCCATGCACGTTAGACTAATACACAGTTTGTCCTACTTCTATCAAAAGCTTTGCAACATGAACAACTGGACTGAGGTTACATTATGTCAGCCTGTTTTGTCTTCACACATTAAAAGACGGGAAAAACCTGATAGCTGGTGGTGAAATCATGTCTAATGTCATTCAGGTGCAACATGGGAAATTTGTTAAAAGGAAAAACAACTGGAAGTTTGTGTTGTGGATTTCCAAAGAACTTCTGGTGAAACACGTTGACGTCAACTGCAGCCGATGAATCACAGCAGGAATCTGGTCTTCAGATAACTGAAAGCTCTGATCAATTTCAAATTAAAGTGAAAACAAATCACACTGCTTTACGATTCAAAAGACTATCTTACTGATCTAAGACTCCATTCTCATTTTTTACCTTACCTTATGCAGCAGCTCTTCTACTTTTATCCCTTAAAATAAAGTAATTAAATCAGAGAAATACTGATACTGTGAAGTTCACACGCATGGTGACCTAAACGTGAACCCTGAACATTCACGGGACGGTTTCAGATTTGACGACGACACGACGGAGGCGCAAATATTTCGTTGCTCTCTGCTGAAAACTCAGAATAGAAATTGGTTAAATTGCTAAGTTAAAAGTGAGCTTTGAAATCCTAAATCAAAACCAGTCACATAAACTAAACTGACTTTACTGAGATTTGAGTTTCAACACAAGATAATAACGACGCTGTTTTATGAAAATGTTTGTAGTTTCATGCAAAATTAAAGATGTACAAAAGTTTATTCCCTCAGAAATCAAAGCATCTGAAAACTAGTTTTCAGGACAAATATGTTTCTAAGGATCCACGGTCCAGTCCACACATTCCTCAACACGTCTCTTCGGTAAACATTCACAAGATAAACATCAACACAGTGATTTTTTAAAAAACTGTTTCTCTTCTTTGTAAACAGCAGTGAGCACAGAGCGAGGACACTTTGACCTACACAGCATTTGGACATCATCTGAAGTCACAAGATGTGATCAAGTTATATAAGAATAAAAACTGTATTCATGATTAAATAACTCTTATAGTCCAATTTACTTTATAGAAACTTGATGTATGAAGTTTGTTGTAAATATTTCTTCTTCCCTATTAAGAAAAAAAAGCGAGCGATTGTGCTTTTTGTGAAGGCAGGAGTTTCTGAATCCAAAAACAGAGCACGTCTTTAAGTGTAAAGAGTTAAATACCAAAGATCACAGAGCCCCTCGGGCTGTCGTCCCATAATTCAGTGTGTTTGTGTCAGGACAGAGACTTTAAGATCCTTCTGTCTGATAACAAGCCGCCACACGAGGCGAGGACGCAGAGCTTTGAGGCAAAAAAGCTTTTAAAGCCAACTATTTCCACGCAGTAATTTGTGTTTCCACTAACCAAGTCGAGGGGTCTTTGGGAATGCGTGGCCAATTTTCTGCACTGATTCATTGACTGACTCGCTGTAAAAGCAGCCTCGACACCCACAAGACCTCCAGTCGCACGTTTTCACATCATTTGGGGCGAGCAGACCCCTCTTAGCAAACACTCGGGATTCTTGGAGTGTTTTCCATCATATGTGTCCTCTGGCTTTCTGAAGAGAAGCTTGTAAATCTCCTCCCGCCTTCATTCCTCCCTCCCCCCTCCTCCAGCTCCTACCTCCTCCCTTTGCCTTCACCCCATCTATCTCCCCTTCCTAACTCTCGCTTCATCTCTTTCGGCCCCTTTTCTGACTCCCTTTTTCTCTCTTGTTTCTCCTCAGAGATCTCCAGCGTTTTGAAGTTACATTCCTGAAATTTCTCAGAAGAAGAACTCAGAAGGCCGACCCGACAGAGATCATATTCTTCATCCCTCCATCCCTTTTCTCTGACGGAGGATAAAGTGTGTGTGTGTTTTTTTTTGAAGAGAAGAGACCCCAGTGTTTGCTTGGATATGGATTTTCTACGTCTGAGAGAGAGACAGAGGGAGCTAAGCTGAGGTCAAGGCCTTCCTCCTCTCCCCCCCTGGAGTCACATGTCAGCGTGAGGCACAACCCCCGGGTTGCTATCGCTACACTGACCGACCTAAATACTTGTATACTCACTTGGAGAAGCAACACAGACTGAGTCACTCAGCTGGGAGTGGAAATCGACAGAAGAGCTTCTTATCAAGTGAATTTGCTTTGTGAGCTGTTGACACTGCTCTGTTTCTCCTGCTGGTTTTAATCAGACCTGAACCCATAGAGGTCCTGTCCGAGCCAGTGAGTGCACGCAGGAGAATTACCTTTCTCTCCGATACAGAGAAGCACACGGAGTTTTCTCTGAAGATACTGGAAACGCCTCACGTCGACCTGAAAGAAGCAGAATGCCAGCAAAGACGCCAATGTACTTAAAAACTACAACTCCCAAGAAGGGGAAGAAGCTGAAGCTGCGTGACGTCCTCTCAGGTGATATGATCAGCCCCCCGCTGGGCGACGTACGTCACAGCGCCCACGTGGGGCCTGAAGGTGAGGGTGACATGTTTGGAGACGTGGGTTTCCTCCAGGGCAAGATGAACATGCTGCCGTCCCTGAGTCGGACGCAGAACGGTCACTCACGCTCGTACAGCGTAGAGACGCGTCAGGATGACGGCTTCGCCGCGAGACAGGACTCGCACAACTACTCCTACAACGGTTACCATTATCAGCAAACCTCTGCCGGCCTGCTGAAGACCACCATCTCCATGCCTGTGTTCATCGCCCACGAACAGGCTCCACCCAAACCCCCACGCCTCCACCTGGACGACCCCTCCCCTCCCCATCTGCCTTCCCAGCAAAACTCCTTCCTGCACCATCAGCCGCCTACAGAGACGAGCCACAAACAGGCCAACGGCTACAACCACGCAGACAACCACAGCTCTCTGACGCTCTTTGAGAACGGCGTGGTGGGACGTTTGGCATCAGAGCCCTGCCGCGACATCTCCCTCTCGCCCTCCATGCGTAGGCTCGTCCCCTCCTCCGGCTCCTTCTCGGAGGTCTCTTCTGAGGACTCCATGTCAGAGACCTGCGGGCCCCCGGACGTTCGCCGGGGCCTCAGCCTGGACTCTGATGCCGGCCTGAGCAACGAGGACCTGAGGAGTGAACGCAGCGAGTCGCCCTGCGCTACCTATCATCCAGCCGGTCTCACAGCTTCATCCGGTGTGCCGCGGTCAGACTCTCTGGCGGGATTAGACCTGGATCTGGGACCATCCATCCTGGAGGATGTCCTGAGTATCATGGACCGCTACAAGACTGAGGACAACCGCTGTGAGCTGTGAAGAACAGAAAGATTAATGTGATGTACAGATATTTTTATACATTTATTGTTTATTGAATCCTTTAAAACTTTGCAGAGATGACGAAGGGACGGAGGAAACGGAGGGCGGAGAAAATGTCTTTCTTAAGAAGACAGCTGAGTTTAAACGTCCTTGAAAGACTTAAGAAAGGCGACAGGCACGTGGACGTTGTTGTAAAGTGCCGGGATGTTGCTGCCCGACTTGACAACAAGGCAACAGGCTGGTCCTTAGGAGCCTGAACAGAGCTCAGACTCATAAACATTCAAACTGTAAGATAACAAAGAGGAGAACTGCAGCCACTTTGTTATCACCAACCTTGGCAACACATTCCCCGTTTCTTAGGACAAAATACCAGACACTACCCACATGGTTTCTAATCTGACATGCGCTCAGAGCTCTCTGCTCGTTAATGGTTCACAGATTACCAGCTGAGTCTGATATAAATGTCTGTAGACTGACATGGGAGACACCGACAACTGTGAACAGAATCCAGGAGCAGCAGGATTTAACCACAGCTACTAACTTCGGACATCTCTGCAGCAGAGTTCAAATTATCCTAAACTGAACTGCAAAAATACATAGTTTTACGGTGAAGGTCATGTTCTGTCCTAATTCATTCTGGCTGCCTGAAATGTTTCAGAAGACTAAATATTAATATCTTCACTTGTTTACTGTGATTCAACACCAGATGAAATGTGAAGAACTTCTTCTGTAACAGATGAAGACGTAAGCTAAGAGCTAGCTCTACATGTCCTCTGGTGTTGCTTTAAAGAACAGCAGCTCTGACATTTCAGCCGCAGGTTTCTTTCTTCTGATCAGAGGGAAACTTATTCTTGTAGTTTAACTAATAAAAAAGCTTTACGTGTAAGAAAGGTGTTGCTTTGTAGATCATTCTCAAATACTGGTCTTTTAAAAACACTCTTTGTCCATGTTGTGGCTCACTGTCGGCCTCCCTAACATTCACTGTCTGCATTATCACAGTAGCCTATTATTCAAATGTCATTTATGCTGTGTGTATATATATAAATAAAAATATATATATCACTGTAAATGTACAAATAAAATGTTCCTGTAATGAAAATAAAAAGGCTTCAAGGACAATTCTTAAACATAAACATACATAGACATTAATAATCTCATATCTTGCTGTGTCTAGATACACACACACACACACACACACACACACACACACACACACACACACACACACACACACACACACACACACACACACACACACACACACACACACACACACACACACACACACACACACACAAGCACAGACATAATAATTGATAAATAATTCAAAATTAAACAGTAAATGGCAACCAACTCCCTTTATAACACACTGCTCAAAAAAATAAAGGGAACACTTAAACAACACAATGTAACTCCAAGTCAGTCACACTCCTGTGAAATCAAACTGTCCACTTAGGAAGCAACACTGATTGACAGTTTCACATGCTGTTGTGCAAATGGAAAAGACAACAGGTGGAAATTATAGGCAATTAGTAAGACACCCCCAATAAAGGAGAGGTTCTGCAGATGGTGACCACAGACCACTTCTCAGTTCCTTTGCTTCCTGGCTGATGTTTTGGTCACTTTTGAATGCTGGCGGTGCTTCACTCTAGTGGTAGCATGAGACGGAGTCTACAACCCACACAAGTGCCTCAGGTAGTGCAGCTCATCCAGGATGGCACATCAGTGCGAGCTGTGGTAAGAAGGTTTGCTGTGTCTGTCAGCATAGTGTCCAGAGCATGGAGGCGCTACCAGGAGACAGGCCAGTACATCAGGAGACGTGGAGGAGGCCGTAGGAGGGCAACAACACAGCAGCAGGACCGCTACCTCCGCCTTTGTGCGAGGAGGAGCAGGAGGAGCACTGCCAGAGCCCTGCAAAATGACCTCCAGCAGGCCACAGATGTGCATGTGTCTGCTCAAATGGTCAGAAACAGACTCCATGAGGGTGGTATGAGGCTCCGACGTCCACAGGTGGGGGTTGTGCTTACAGCCCAACACCGTGCAGGACGTTTGGCATTTGCCAGAGAACACCAAGATTGGCAAATTCGCCACTGGCGCCCTGTGCTCTTCACAGATGAAAGCAGGTTCACACTGAGCACATGTGACAGACGTGACAGAGTCTGGAGACGCCGTGGAGAACGTTCTGCTGCCTGCAACATCCTCCAGCATGACCGGTTTGGCGGTGGATCAGTAATGGTGTGGGGTGGCATTTCTTTGGGGGGTCTCACAGCCCTCCATGTGCTCACCAGAGGTAGCCTGACGGCCATTAGGTACCGAGATGAGATCCTCAGACCCCTTGTGAGACCGTATGCTGGTGCGGTTGGCCCTGGGTTCCTCCTAATGCAAGACAAGACCTCATGTGGCTGGAGTGTGTCAGCAGTTCCTGCAAGAGGAAGGCATTGATGTTATGGACCGGCCCACCCGTTCCCCAGACCTGAATCCAATTGAGCACATTTGGGACATCGTGTCTCGCTCCATCCATCAACGCCACGTTGCACCACAGACTGTCCAGGAGTTGGCGGATGCTTTAGTCCAGGTCTGGGAGGAGATCCCTCAGGAGACCATCCGCCACCTCATCAGGAGCATGCCCAGGCGTTGTAGGGAGGTCATACAGGCACGTGGAGGCCACACACACTACTGAGCCTCATTTTGACTTGTTTTAAGGACATTACAAGTTGGATCGGCCTGTAGTGTGGTTTTCCACTTTGATTTTGAATGTGACTCCAAATCCAGACCTCCATGGGTTGATAAATTTGATTTCCATTGATAATTTTTGTGTGATTTTGTTGTCAGCACATTCAACTATGTAAAGAAAGGAGTATTTAATGAGATTATTTCATTCATTCAGATCTAGGATGTGTTATTTTAGTGTTCCCTTTATTTTTTTGAACAGTGTATATGTGTTGTGTGTTTGTCTCACCAGTTGTATTATTTAGACTGATAAAATCTTATGGAAGTGGTTATGGGTACTTTTTATTTTGAAAACTATTAAGCAAAGTCCCAGAAAACAAGCAGTAGTTTAATCTATAACAAAATAATCGTATTTATAAATTATTCATATGTTATGTTTTAAAAAATCTTAATTTATAAAGTAACTGTTAGGCTGTTACATAAATGTAGTAAAGTAAAAAGAGTGTGATGTAGTGGAGAAGTAGAAAGTGGCATGAAAAGAAAATACTAATACCTAATAATTTGTACAACACTTGAGTAAATCTACTTAGTTACTGCTGTGTAAGCGGGAATATCAAAGAAAACTGTTTAATATGTTTTTACAGACGCTGCCCAGGACCTCTGAGAATAGTGATGAACATGTTTGCTTCGACTCAGAGTTTTGCTTTTTTAATTTTGTAGGTTATGTTACATCATTAGTCGGGTTAATTAAATTAAAGTAAATTAAATCTTTATAATGTCGTGCCCTCTAGTGGCCACAGACAGGAACTGCAACCTAACTGTCAAGCCCGCGTCAATGCAGACTTGATAGCAAACTAACACTTCCGGTGGGGACGTTCAAAATAAACCTTTCAAAAAGGCAGTTGTGTAAAATAAAACACGCTGCACGGTGGCTCCGGTATTAGGAATATTATGCTCGAAGAAGGCGACTCGTGGTTATTTAGTACCTACCATAGAATGTGATAAAAGATATATATATATATAACGTTATATCTTCACCCAATGGAAAAAGGGAATACGCCTTGAAGCGTTAACTCTGCCAAAAAAAAATCATAGAAGAAGAAGTTCAAGAAGAGTCTGTTGCTCACTGCACTGTTTTTGTTTTTCTTTACCGACACACAAAAAGACTCTTTCAAAACAGCAAAAGTGACTGACAAAGAAGAGGAGCGGCTGCTACACGTTTTCCCAAAATGAAGTGAGTGTTTCTACTAACACAGACGATAAAAAAACATTGTTAACTGTTAGTGTTAGCTTGATTGCGTTAAGGTTAACGGTACTGTAGCTAACATAATTTAGCTAAGGTAACATTAAACCTGCCGCTGACAGCTGCAGTTTAGTCAGGTTAACGTATAAAAAAAATCTGTTTTCAGACCGTGTGTTTGTTCAATTAACGTTAGATATGAGCTGCAGAACCAGCGTCCACATTAGCTTAGCTCCCGACACATGTCTGAAGTCCAGTTTGTAGCTGCTAAGTTACACGAAGCTAGCGTCGTTGCTCTACTTACACACAAAGAGGAAGAAAGTCTCTGAGCTGAATCTGCTGCGTGTGTGGACTTTATTCCAGGCTTAACATCGAGGGTCTGCTGGTGTATTTTCCGTATGACTACATATATCCTGAGCAGTACTCCTACATGCTGGAGCTGAAGAGGACACTGGATGCTAAGGTGGGTGGTGTTTATGTATCCCTCTGTTTATTATTGCACAGGATGCAAGACGAGACATTCAGTGGGATTAAAAACAGTGTAGCTCCGTTTCATATCCTACTGCTGGTCAGGCTGGTGTATTGTATACCTCCCATCTCCATCATCAGCTGCCTTTAAGACATCCGGAGCTGGAATGAAGATGAACCTCCTCCAACAAAACAGCAACAAGAGAGAGATCAGTCTTATGGCCTGGATAACACTCTCTCCTTTGAATCCCACATACAAACCATCACTCGGACTGCCTTTGTCCACGTCTGCAGTATCTCAAAACCCACCTTCTCTCTTACACTCTGGCGCTGAAACTTTCCTCCATGCCTTTGTTTCTGTTTCCATGCTAGACTACTGCAACACTCTCCTCACCGGTATCCCCAACAAACTCATCAGTCGACTCCAACTGGTTCAGAACTTTGCAGCAAGACTCAAACAAATCACACCTACTCTTATCAAACTTCACTGGCTGCCTGTGCAATACCCGATTAAGACCGTACTTTTCACATGTAATAACCTGGCACCTACCTCTCTGACCTCCTCCCAGTTTATGCCCCCTACCGCTCCTTCCGCTCCTCCACTGCAGGTCTCCTTGTCACCCCTCCATTCTGCCTCTCCGCCATAAATACCCGAGCCTTTAGCTGCCTGGCACCCAGGCTTTGGAAAACACTACCCGCTCATGTCGGCAGATTCAGTTACATCTTTCACAAAACTCCTAAAAACACATCTTATTTTAGACTTCTTTTAAATTTGCACTGTTTGGATTATTGCACCTTTTTCTTACCTTGTATGAAAGATGCCCTTAAGTGTCCTGAAAGGTTTCACCCCAAATAAAATGTATTTTATGTAAACACACACACACACTACAAAACACAGTAACACGTTGTCCAACTGAAGAATCATAGTATTTAATGGCAATACAGATACTGTAGTTAAGGTTTCTCTACCAGAGGGAAATTGTGATGCTGTGTCTGTGATGATTGATTGTGGTTAAAGGATATCAAATCAGATCAAATCATTTTTTATTTACAAAAGCTCTGTAGCCTGCTGATTTTTTTTTTTTGTTATACAAAGGATTGATCAGCATTGAGTGAGTGAAGAGTGCGAGCTGGTGTATACAGTGTAATTAGCTCAGCTAGGTAGGGTGGTGCAAGTCCATGCAAGCCCTTATAAGTTAAAAGGAGGACCTTAAAGTTAACTCTAGCTTGCACCGGTGACCAGTGAAGAGAGGCCAGGTTAGGTGTTACATGTTCAGATCTTCTAGTTATTGTCAGGATTTTGGCCGCTGCGTTCTGGACAAGTTAGAGTGAATGTTTGTTCTTTGCCTGGCGTAAAACATTGCTAACATGCCTGAATGTATTCGGAACAAGTTGCATCTAGCTGTTACGATAGAATAGATCATTTTTATGAAAATTACAATCTTTAGTTACTACTAAGGGGAAACCATGTGAGGGGAATTTTGTACTAAAAAGACACAAACCCAGTTTGTCTCCTAGCGACTGATTTTAACACGAGTAAAAAGATGGAGTTTAAAGTATCGTCACTTGATCAGAGACTTACTTACACGGTGTTAACTGTGCTGTTGACGTTCAGGGTCATGGAGTCCTGGAGATGCCATCAGGAACAGGAAAGACCATCTCTCTGCTGTCTCTCATTGTTGCCTACCAAAAGGTGAGTTTATCTTTGTTAATGTGACTTATTGCTATGGTTCACTCTGGCTTCCCATCAGCCAATGCTGCATGAATACCTTAATACGTTTGGTTCTCTCTCTCAGGCCTTTCCTTTGGAAGTGACCAAGCTAATATACTGCTCCCGAACAGTTCCAGAGATCGAGAAAGTGAGTCAAGGTCAAATAAAATCACACTCGGCACAAACTGATGAAAAGTATAATCCATCGAACATAGATGTTTAATCCCAGCAACAACATTTGATCCTGATGAAACACATCTACAACAGTATTAAGATGATGCTTTAAAAATCATCATAACTTGTGGCGTATATTTGATCCGCTGTCTGATAAGGTCGTGGAGGAGCTGAGGAAGTTGATGGAGTTTTATTGCAAGCAAACTGGAGAGAGCAACAACTTCCTGGCTCTGGCTCTTTCCTCCAGAAAAAACCTCTGCATCCACCCGGAGGTACGAACAGCTGCTGTCCAGGACAAAGCGGGACCTCACATATAACAAAAAAGCACGAACACGCCAAACATACACATTTAAAGCTGAGAGAGAGAGAGATAAAGCAGCCAGTACCATGCTTTCTGTCCGTCTTTGTGTCTGCTGTATGTCTAAAAGATTAAATAAAAGCTCCTCTGCCTCGACTGTAACCAGTATCTGCTTCCATCCAGGTGAGCTCTCTGCGGTTCGGTAAGGAGGTTGATGGGAAGTGCCACAGTCTGACAGCATCGTACATTCGTGCACAGCGCCACAGCAGCCCCGACCTGCCTGTGTGTCGCTTCTATGAGGTAACAAGTCACCTGAATTCATCCAGTTCAGACCAGCCGGTATTTTTATAATTGAAGTTTGAGCTCAAAAACACCTCATCACAATATACCGTCACTCTTGGATAACATCTAAACGATGTAAGCGAGTGTGTTGTTGAGGGTAAATTTTAACACAGACACTTGATAGTAAAAATAATGATAACATTTAGTTTGATGCTCCATCAGAGGCGATTAAACTAAATGTTTCTGTTGAAAGACAGTTTGATTAGAGCTGAAACTAACAATAATTTTCTTCACGTTTAATTGTTTTGTTTTCAATAAAATATCCGTGAGAAATTTCCTTTATACTTTCTTAGAGCCTGTGACGTATTCTGATGGCTTGTTCTGTCATATTTCACCTGAACTAAGATGCCCACTGAACTTCACGTGCGCAAAGTTTGTGATTGTACCCAGACGCTGCTGACACGAAACCATTTGATTTTCACGCAAGCATGTGACCGGACAAGAACTGACCATTTAGCGTCTGTGCATGTGTGACCGTTATTTACAACATGACTCTAAATAGGTTAAAGCAAACAATGAGAAGTTCTCACATAACAGGTTGTGTGGAACTACAGACAAGAGTTCATATCTGGTTTCCAGTTGTCTGATAAATCTCTCAGGTGCTTTGCTCTGGCCGTACAAGTTATGCAACATCAGCGATAATGTGAGTTTTAAGGTGGAACCGTGTACATTTTTATTAAGATTAAACCAGACATCTCATACCAAGCAAGGATCCAGCTGACGTTAAAAAGAGTTTTTTTTTAAAAGCAGCCTACAGTGTAATTTCACCGTATGAATCAGGTACCACAAAAACTAATTGGAAGAAACCAAGACAATGGGGAACGAGGGAGTAACTTTAGAATTATAATTATTATAAGCAATATTTTTGTAAATACTGTGTACCCATGTGGTACAGTACTTGGTAACAACACTGATATTCTGCAGAATTTATTCAGTAATTAATGTCTTTTGCAGTTTTGATATGCAACTAAAACTGCAGGGGTACAGAACGGTAACAAAAGGGACTGTTGGAAAATCTCTCACTATGTAAATGTTGTTGAAGAACAAAGAAAATATTGTTTGTGTTCCCAACATTACCACCAATGCCGGGATACAGCAGTGTCACCTCGGGGTAGATTCTGCAGAACAACAGTGTTGTATTTCCCAGTACTGTTTCCCCCCGTAGGTATTTCACAAAGAAAATTACTTATTTCTTCTTTTCTCTAAAATGCCTGTCTGTTACTCTTTTGTTCCCCATATTCTTATTATCTTCCGCTGTACCTACATATAAGTACTAGTAAGAACCGGTAAATATTTGATTAGAAGCTGATTTGTACAACAGAATCACACTGTGATTAATTAATCGTTGTATTATAAGGCTTTTTGATTTAAATATTTTACCTCTCTTTTTTGAGTAAAACCTCCCGTCAGCTGCAGAGTGTGCTACACTTTCACTAGCGCGTGCATTTCCTTAAATCCATCCAGAGTTGATGTGATTTCCCCCCCCCCCCCTGCTTTTCTGTCAGCTTCAGTGTATGTGCACATATCTGTCTTCTGCTCTGGTTTCCTTGAACCTCCTCTCGTTCCACGTTTGTGTCTGTAGGAGTTTGACGCGGTCGGCCGACAGGTGCCTCTTCCCGCTGGCGTCTACAACCTCGACGACCTGAAGGACTTTGGTCGGAGGAAAGGCTGGTGTCCTTACTATCTGGCACGCTACTCAGTACGTTGCAGTACAGACAGATACAAACATGAAATGTTTAGCCTGGTGTGAAAATGCTTTTCCTAGTAATTTGGGATGGATTTATAGCTGGCTGAGCGTTACACAAAGGCAGATCATTTATTGAAAACCACATTACAGATGCTTGTAGTGGGAAGGAGGTAAGAGGAATCTAAACTGAAAAAACCACAGTTACTTTTTACTGAATAATGTTATGTATCTCTTAGCTTGTCCTGTTATCTCCTGTATTTATTTCCTCTCAGATTCTGCACGCCAACATCGTGGTGTACAGCTACCACTACCTGCTGGACCCCAAGATAGCTGACCTGGTGTCCAAAGAGCTGGCCAAGAAGTCTGTAGTGGTCTTTGATGAGGCTCATAACATAGGTAAAAGGGAAGATCTGTCACAGTGATTAATTTAATATGTAACGATCACAAAAATCTGAGATTCATTTAATTAATTATTTAAACTATTTAATGTAATAATGACTCCGGGGAAGAGCTTCATTGTTTCATATCTTTTTGACCCACTCCCTTTACTTCCTCCTGTTTATTTCCCTTGCTCCTCAGACAACGTGTGCATCGACTCCATGAGTGTGAACATCACCAGACGAACACTTGACCGCTGCCAGAACAACGTGGACACACTTCAGAACACCATACAAAAGTAAGATCCTGGTGGAGGCCAGCAGCAAGTGTACTGAAACATTTAACTCATTAAGTGCATCTCACTTAATTACATTTACGTTTGCATTACTTGGAAAAATGTTTATTATGTGTGTCTGCATTTATTGATATTCTGTTTGTAAATTCAGTCGCCCAACAACAGTTTTTTAGGGTAAGTGGAGATACAAATACGCATCTCATCAAAATCTAGTTTCTACCAGATTCACGGTTGTTTTGTAGCATCACACGTGGAAAGAAAATCACACCAATAAATAAACTTCTAGTCTCCTCCTGTACGGTTCAAAAAGGGGGATCATAAAAAGGAAAATGATTCAGATCTAAAGGTAACTAACATCCTTTTTTTTTACTGCAACCGTATCCTCAATAATTGCGGTTATATAAATCATATTGAATTGAAAATAAGGAATAATAAGGAAATTGGGATTATCCCATTGAAATACCTATTTCCAAATGGTCTAGAAGGTAAACCCAACTTTTGTATGATGTTTGTGCGTGGGAGAAGTTTGCCTTCGGGCCCATCTGCCAGAAAGCCTTTCACAAACACTTGACAGCCGCTGTTTAATGTGAAACCAAACCTGCTCCGCCTCCCCCGCTGTCTGATAGGATAAAGGATACAGACGCTGCTAAACTGAAGATGGAGTACAGGCGATTGGTGGAGGGGCTGAAGGAAGCCAATGTTGCCAGGGAAACCGACATCTACCTGTCAAATCCTGTGTTACCAGACGAAATTCTTAAAGGTATGCCCACTGGCAGCACTAAATTAATGTGGTTTTCAGACAGAAACACAAATATGAGTCTCCAAAAAGTTGACATTGCTTTTCTCCCTCTCTCAGAGGCGGTGCCCGGTACTATTCGCACAGCAGAGCACTTTGTTGGTTTCCTGAGACGTTTCCTGGAGTATCTCAAGTCCCGTCTGAGGGTCCAACATGTCGTACAGGAGAGCACCCCGCAGTTCCTCAAAGACATCTTCGACAAAGTCTGCATCGACCGAAAGCCTCTCAGGTCAGTGTCTGCGCCAGCAACGCATAAAACTAAAAATTAACCTTAAATTCTCACCTCAGACCTTTTTAATATCTTCCTTCCACAATCACTTGTGTCAGTTTCCCACTCTTACTAGCTCTATTTATTTCTTCAGATCCTCATTTGGACACATTTTCTCTCCTGAATATTTCTTCCACGCCGCTGTGTCTCTCCAGGTTTTGTGCAGAGCGCTTACAGTCGTTGCTACGAACTCTGGAGATCGCCGACATCGCAGACTTCTCAGCTGTTACTCTCATCTCCAACTTTGCTACCCTGGTCAGCACCTACAGCCAAGGTACTAAAACACACATCTTTAACACTGAAAGCCGACACTGTTAAATAATATATCACTAATATACGTGGTAGAAGTCATATTCAGTTTCTGATATCTCCCAATTGTTATATTTGGTTGTTTTTATTATATTTTTTTAATTTGAACTTAATTAAGCATATTTTGTCTTTCTGTCTGAAGGTTTTACTATAATCATTGAGCCCTTTGAAGACAGAACTCCAACCATCGTCAACCCTGTGCTGCACTTCAGGTGGGCTTAATAGGTTGACAAATATTTTTTTTAATTGGGGAAACAGTATTGATTAATGTCTCTCTGGTACTGTCTGGTCAACTCAACCAAAGCAATTGATGACTTTGAAAAAGTAGTACAGATGCTGCAACGATTAGTCAAATAATCAATTAGTTGTGAACAATGAAATTAATTAATTGCTATTTTAAAGAAAAAACGAAACGAAAAATGTGAATATTTTCTGTTTTCATTAGTCCACTATGACAGTTAACTGAATATATTTGGGTTGTGGAAAAGAAGTCATTTGAGCACGTCACATTGGGCTTTGGGAAACACTGGTTGACATTTTTCACAACTTTCTGGACCTAAAAACTAATCGATTAATTGAGAAAATAATCAATAGATTAGTTAGTTGCAAGATATTTCAGCGACAAAGACCGAAAAGCCTAATTCTGAAGCCCACAAAAGAAAAGCAGTTGTTAGCACATCATTTTACACAATAAAAAAAATCTTCATTTGACGTTTCTCTTGTTTGTAATTAGTTGATTACATGTTGAGAGCATGCAGGACTAAGTCTGTGTGACATTAACTGTGAGTATCATATTAACATGTGACTTTGTTCCCCTCTCAGCTGTATGGATCCATCTATAGCCATCAAACCAGTTTTTCAAAGGTTTCAGTCTGTCGTCATCACCTCGGGGGTAAGTTGGTTACCGTCTTTCTTCTCTGCTCAATTTACAGTAATTTCAGTCCAGAAAAAAAACAATGTCTACTTACAATGCCTCTGCAGAGTGGGGATTACTTAAAGCAAAGAATAGTTTTCAGTTTGTTCGAGGTTTTTTTACTGGATACTTTTCATCTATAATCTTGCTTCTTAAAATATTATCCCGAAATTTCAGTCATGTAATTTTGTCACTTTGTTTTTTATTTATGTAATTGTACTTTTGATGATTTGCATCATAATCTTGTGTACTTTGTTGAAAATTATCGGAGTTGGTTGCAAATTATTGCAATTTCTTTATTCACACCTGAATATTAAATTATTCCTTCTTTCATTCTGGAAAATCCACAAGTCATTTTACATTACATTTTAGTCATTTAGCTGGCGTTTTTATCCAAAGCGACTTACAATTGCTATATATGTCAGAAGTAGCAGTGGGAACCGACCCCAGGTCTCTCACACCTGAGGCATGTGTCTTATCCACTTATCACCATCGCCGCCCCACAAGACAATATCGTGATAAAGCTATTTGATTTTCTGTTTCGCATGAAGTCACAAAATTCTGTGTTCCCCCAAAAAAAGACTGTTGTTGTGCACTGATAAATGAAAATACCTGCTCTTATTTTGACTCTGTTCTGTTTGACCTCTTTAGACTCTCTCCCCACTGGACATCTATCCCCGAATCCTCGACTTCCGCCCTGTTACAATGGCATCCTTCACCATGACGCTGGCACGGACCTGTCTCTGTCCCCTGGTGTGTAACTACACTCATTCAAAAACGCATTCACTGTGGCGGCTCTGGTGGATTGCAAAAGAAATTATGGAACTGGTCTGACAAATTGTGTCACAGAAACTCTCCATCCTTGACCACATGCAAACCCTTAATCACATCATTTACACACTTAAAATTGTATTTTGTCTTATTTTTCTTTCTCTGTTTCATCCTGTATAGATTGTTGGCAGGGGAAATGACCAGGTGGCCCTGAGCTCAAAGTTTGAGACCAGAGAGGACTTTGGTTAGTAGTATAGTCTCACATTTGTTTCTTTGTCAAAACATAATACCTCAAACATAGTATTCTTTGTTAAAATATAATCACATTACTATTTCATTTTTTTATTTTTTTGTTTCTAGCTGTGATTCGTAACTACGGCAACCTACTTTTAGAGATGTCTGCGATTGTTCCTGATGGCATCGTGGCGTTTTTCACCAGCTACGTCTACATGGAGAACATAGTGGCGTCCTGGTATGAACAGGTCAGTGTGTGGACAGACACCGCGCACCCACCTGTGCTGGTTATTTAAAACATGGATCCTAATTAATCTTTTCACTTAAATCAGCACAGCACATTTGTCTAATGTTTCCCAATGTGTGTTTTTGTATATGTTTGTTTGCAGGGCATCCTGGAGAATATCCAGAGAAATAAGCTGATCTTCATTGAGACTCCAGATGCTGCAGAGACGAGCATGGCCCTGGAAAAATACCAGGAGGTCAGAGAGACGCCTGTCATCTAACTTTATACTTATTAAATAAGGGGGAGTAGGGAGACAAAATTATAGCACATGCCTGTGATTGTTCCATTTAGCAACAGTGGTGCTGTAAAGGAATAAAAGCACCCTCGTGGTAATATTTTATCTTGGGATTTGTCTAACTCTTCTCTTCAGGCATGTGAGAACGGCAGAGGAGCCATCCTCCTGTCTGTGGCCAGGGGAAAGGTGTCTGAAGGAATTGATTTCGGTAAATGATCAGGATGCTGCACGTTACTAAAATGACTAACCAGGAAACTCCCTGTGGGGAAAATGTGGATCTAGTATAAAGTAATGAAAGCAAACAGTAAAAGCAAAACAACAGATTTCTTTATGGTTATATACAATATAAAGGTTCAACGTCGTATGTGGGTCTGTAGAGGTCTGTTTATCAACATAATAACAATGAATCTTGTTCTGTTTTCTGTTCAGTGCATCATTTTGGCCGAGCAGTCATCATGTTTGGAGTGCCTTATGTTTACACGCAGAGCCGCATCCTGAAGGTCAGAACTATCCCTGTTTTTCTGTCTGCATTTTACTTGACTGTCCGAATTGTGGGTGAAATTTTCGCTATATATCTGTTAACAATCCCACAATGCAATGCATCACATTTTATAGAATGAATTACTATTACTAAATTACAGACATGTGACTCTCCACCTGTTTAGTGATGACTAAACTAAGTGTCTGAAATCTCAGAACAAACTATCGAGTACCGGTATCTATTATATAGTGAATGAGGCGGTGATTTCGTACGCAGCCCACGTCTTCACTTAACTCACAAATAAAGGACTGGTCAGTCTGAAACATAGTGATTTTAAAAACAACAAATGATGACCAAAATACACAAAACATACCAGCAACATGCACTGAGTTTTCAGTTTATTATTTACACATAGAAATAAATAAATGACGGTACCTCTCCGTACGCAATGCATTTAACAACACCACAAACTACAGTCTCCAAAATGACCATTACGTTGAATGAAGACCTCTCTACAGTTTCAAGGAGGATTTATTCCAGTATTAGACTGCATTTGTTTTATCTCGGTGTACCTAATAAACTGGTAACTGAGTGCCTATTTCATCGTTCACCGGTCCTGAAAAGTGATGAAACACAAGTTACAAAATATACTGTATAATATGGTTGATTGTAGTGCTGATTTTATTTTATATACTTTCCTTAACTCATTTAATCTGTGATCATTGATCTTGTGTGTTGATGATGGTGTTTAAAAAAGGAACAAGCACAGATGTTTTCGTATGTTAATTTGTAAATCTCATGTCCGTCTCGTCCGTTCCTCAGTCTGACAGTTTTGTTGTCATCACTCTGTTCGTAGCTTCACCGTATTTGTTTCCTCACTGATTCTCACGTTTTAGGCTCGTCTGGAGTACCTTCGGGATCAGTTTCAGATCAGAGAGAATGACTTTCTGACGTTTGACGCCATGCGTCACGCGGCCCAGTGTGTGGGAAGAGCCATCAGGGGAAAGACTGACTACGGACTCATGATTTTTGCTGACAAGGTGTGTTTCTACCCAGTCTAAATGGTTTTTGGTCCTGCTATACTACAACATGCCTATAAACATTGCACATTTTCTTAGCATCAGCCTGCTACACATTCACTGCTGGTAGGTCCCATTGCAACCACGCTCCTCTGATTTTAGCATTAAAGTAGGAGCAGATGTTTTATTGCCTTGAGTGAAGATCAGTCAGGATGTGATCACTCCCTCTCACGTCCACAGCGTTACGCCCGAGCAGACAAACGTGGGAAGCTTCCTCGCTGGATTCAAGAGCACATCAGTGACGGCAGTCTGAACCTCACCGTGGACGAGGCCGTCCAGCTGTCCAAACACTTCCTGCGGCAAATGGCTCAGCCTTTCAGACAGGTACGACTCACCACACACCAAGCACCACACCACAGGTGTGCTTCAAATTTGTCTAACTGAAATTACATTTAAGTGATTTGTTAACTACTCCGACATCAAAGGTAAGGTCACCTGAAGCAAAAAAAGGAGCAGAGCAAGTTTAAACTCTTGTCTCTTTTGTGTGAAAGGCCAGAGGCGATGTGGGTAAAGATGTTTGAATTTAGTTATTCCACAGTTAACTTAAGCATATAAGTTATAAGTCATAGTCCAGAGAGGACATGCATGTACTTTTAATAACTTCTCATGATCATGAAAATAATTACAGATATTACCTCACCAGCAATCTTAACTTTTGTCCCTCTTGTGTCTTGAAAAAGTTGAACAATCAGAGCGTGGACTATACTTGACATTTTCATGAAAGCGATACATTAATAATAATAATTTTGAGGTTGTGCAGAGTCAAAATAAACGGAAGAGTAAAAAACTTGGAAATGAAAACAGTAATTTTATATCTACTTTGATTTTTGCGATCTCACTTCGCAAGTTAGTCTGTTTTGTCGTCACTTGAGTTCTCACTTGTTTCATAGAACAAATCAATAGTTATTAGCGTGTAGCAGCTTCCGCCTTCTCTTCTCTTTAATTTTAAATTACTTAGAGCTGCACAGTGAACAAGTTTCATTTAACAAGACACATAAAATAGTTGACAAGGCAGTCTGTGATCACTACATTCACCTTCTTGTTTCCCTGATTTTTATCTGTCTCTAATGATCTCTCTATGCCTCTGACCCTGTTTCTCCAGGAGGACCAGCTGGGTCTGTCTCTTTTAACTCTTGAGCAGCTGGAGTCGGAGGAAATGCTGCAAAAAATCAATCAGATTGCCCATCAGACCTGAAGGTGACATACACTGAGTAATGTTATCACAATGGCTACGCCCATGATGGTGTCAGCAACTCTTAGAATGACATCATTACTGTGTGATGATTAGACCTGATCCAACAAGATTTAATTTTAACTTATAGAGTCCCTTCCCTTCCGGTGGACCACTATGGGACCTTATTTTGAAAGAAATATGTACAGTAGTCGATATTATAGATATTATCACTAAACAAAATAAAACTTAAAACTTAATTCTCTGTTAGAAGCTCTCCTTCTCTATGTAGTAAACTCCACATATCTGGTAAACAAACCATGACAAGTATTTAAATCACATGCTGGCCCAGGTCTGGTGATTACATTAATGATTTCTGACTGTATTACCGGCAGTCCTGTACGTAGTGGTTAGAAGGTCTGAGCCTCAAAAAAGGCACCAAGCATTCAGTATTTCAAGTCACACACTGAGTCTACAGAATATTAGCCCCTCGGCTCTCACTCAGACATGGCTGTGTTTTTTTTTCCCACTCTCTGTATAAGAGAGAACATCCCATCAGATCCAGGTTGTCCTACCAGTTAAATCTATACACCCACCAGAATGTGACAGGATTTTGCTCGATGCACCTTTGGTCCACTGGGTCAGCGCGTAATTCACTACCTTTGTAGCTGATTGGCATGTTAGAAATCCATTCAAATTACTCATATTTAGTTTTTTAATTAGTTTATGCAAATAGTGCTTCAGAAAACTGAACTGAAATGCTGGAAATATTAATTGATTAATATACCATGGTAGTTAAAGTCAGCAGTCTGTGTGAAAGTAGAAGTGTGATCAGTTTTATTTGTCCTGAGTGTATCTTACTTGGTAACCATGCAGCATTTCATATGGGAGAAGGATTCTGCAGTTTTATTGAAAAGGTCCTAACATTTTGTATACTCAGTGTATGTACTCAGTATTACAGATCACTCACAGATTCACCGAGGGGATATAACAGAAATATCAACAACAGTAATGAATCCTTTCCATTATGATGAGAAAACTTTTATAGTTCTAAATGGATGTGCTATATTATAGCATTTCAGAGTAGATGTATTCCTTGTTAAACCAAAAGTGAACACGTGCTGTTTTTAAAAAACAAATTGTTTTGATGACAAACAAAACAAGAATATTTGTTGTAAAACCATCATCAGTGGGTCAACATGTTGCATTAACTACAGAAACTTTATTCCATCTGTGGGTGTAACATCGGTCCATGTAGCGTCTGTCATACAGACAAGACTACTGTTAGTTTCCTTTTGCTATTGCAACTGTACATAGTCACATTTTTTACTGAACGTGAGCTTTTTGTGTCTGTTTTTCAACCAGGAAGTTGAAATATAAAGGTTTGTATTTAACAGCTGGCTTGTGTTTTTCTTCTTGGGGAAACTTGCCTTTCCATCCTAACAAAAACGAGTCTAGGGCAAATACTTGAACTTAATACTCAAAAAGAATGACAGTACATTATATACAGCTATTTAAACCGAAAGTTAAAGTAACAGCCCTTCAAATAAAACAACAATTGGCCAAACCCTAAAAGACATAAAACAGAAATATTTCCATGCAAACAACACACACTAAAAATGGTATTAAAATCATACTGGAATTTATTTCAGCTCAAGTTTGCAAATATAAAATACAAACATTAATATTTACCAGAATAAACACAGCATCAGGAGATATAGTCTAGTTTTTACATATTTTGATCCCATCTTCTGAAACATTACAAGTGTTTCATTAACAGTTTCTACAGTAAACTAACAGTGTGATTTTAGCCCTTAACAACACTCAGCAGTGACGTCTTCTACCACAGCAAATGTACAATCAGTAGTTCTCCATCATTTAGGATATACATTATGTTTGAGCAAAACAAATGGAAGTGAGCCCTAAGAGGAGTTTCGTGGAATGAGTGTCAGAGTGTAACAGCATTTTCAGTGAGCTTAGATTTCCAAGCAGCACTCGCTTGTTGGCTTAATTAAATTTATTTAAACATTCCTGAGTTTGAAGTGAATATGTAGAAAAGTATATTTATTTAATGCTCTGTCTGTCAACATAAAAAGGAAGGACCTATTTTTATTTTGTTCATGCAGTTAAGGTTGGGTATCGTTTCATTTTTATCGATTCTGATTTTACTTATCGAATCCGGTTATTTTTAATCTCTGTTGTGATGCCCTTCAATATAAAAGGTGAATTTCAGCTCACCGGTGTTTTGTACCTGAGCTGTTGCTACGGTTAGGGTTAGTTGTATCTGGGGCGTCATTGCAGCTGAGAAAGCGCGACACATTGATCACTCTGCGTTCTTCAGATTCACGCCAGTGTTGCAGTTCGTCATGTTGGAGCTGCTTCCTCCCGCGCACCAAACCTCCTTACTGCAGGTGTTATATTTTGCTGCGTCGTTCTCTTTTTTTTTTTTTTTTTTTGTGAAGCTAAGCCAAACTTTGGAGTGTTTGCTGCGGTCCGCCATGGTCCAGGACTGGAAACAGAAGGACTCTTCTTCATGGTTTGTTGATGTACTGCGTAACAAATGACGTGACGTTAGGTCGGCGTAGCAGATCCTGGCAGATAAGAGACACTTTCATGCTCACTGCAGTACAATCGTAAACGCCACTAAAACATGGAAAAAGTTAGGAACCGATAAGCAGAATCCGAATGAACGTATCTTAACAAATCCACGGTTCTTGGAAATTTGGTAACGGTTCTCGATACCCAACCCTACACGCAGTGTTGTAGTCAAATCGAGTTTGAGAAAGTAATTAAAGTAATTCTTGCAATAACAAATTAAAAAGAGCACAAAACTCTACACAATTAAAAGCTAGTTTACTATTTATAATAGTGACTTGCAGTAAGTTGTGAATTTCAGGCATTTCAGTGAATAAGCATAGATGTAAAATTAAAAGATGAAATGGACTCACTTAAGTAGGCTACATGTGCCTCAAAATTGTTCTTCATTCAAGCTGTGCCTCAAAAGTGTTCTTCATTCAAGCTACTTTTACCACTATGGAGCAAACTCACACTCACTCAAATTGTTTGGGTTTCTGCATTTGTAAACATCTGGCTACTTGTGCATCCCATGTTGCCCTATGGAGTCGAATTCCTAATCTAATTACTACAGTACGAGTATTGACTCTCTTTGTGTCTCAAGTTTGCACTTTAGCTGCGAGATATTTTGACTGTGTTTACAGGCCACTAACTTTGTATGCCAGCTTTTGGACATAATTGCAGAAATGTGTGCCACCTAGAACAATCCCTTTCTACAATTTGCTTCATGTTCAGTTTGTGTGACATTTGTTGTATACATGGTCTTCCACAGTGTCTTTGATACAACTGAGGGGCGGACAGCCTACACAGAGTGGCTTTGTGTAAATGGTACAACTCTGCTAAGTCTTAGTTTAAGTGATTCACTAAACATCAATCCAAGGCCAGTTGAAAGTCATCAAAACAATATTGACTCAGGCACACAACAATAACTTTGGGTATCCAGATAGCTTAAAACTATTTTCTGAATAAACTATTAATAACTCACAATGCAACAAATACATAATTACTGATTATTGAAATGTTAATGTTACCTCTGTTAAGAGTGCGATTGATCAGGAATTTATTAACTGACAATGTGCAAAAGTATCACCTTTATGAGTACCGTGTTTTACAGTCATTTGTGCGTTCATTTTAGTGTTGGTTATTTTCAGATCATGTATATCACATTTTTGGATTTCTCATAATGTGGAATAAAAAAAACTTTACTGTGGTCAAAGCTAAAAAAACACAAATGTGTTTACTTCAGCTGCTTTGCACAATATAAAAATGTGATTAGAATGACTTGCACATAGTAAAGGCAAAATACATTTAAATAACTTCTTTAACAGTATAAACCTGATAGCTTAACTTCTGTAAATCAAATGTAACATTTTTACAGACGCCTCACATTTTGATCATTGTGCAAACAACTTTACATCCCTGTGCTTTGAGAGAATTTATAAAACTTTATAAAGATAATCTGTAATGTCAATATGCCTGTTTTATCTTTAGACATTTTAAAATATAAATAACAGTGTTGGTAATAGAAATGTACCTAAAAAGGGAACACTAGCATTAGGAAACACCTAATACATCAAATGTAAAATTGATTGTATTACAGATTTACGTTTGTTAAATGACACATGATATGGTTTATGAAAATACAGTAAAGTTTTCTTACAGTGTAAATGCTGGTATTATTTTTAGATCATCTAAAAGGATTTTTGTGCTCAATAAAACACAATTTCTTTTCTTTCATTTTTAAGTTAATAGTTAACTTGTAATCAGGAAACTGAATTCGATTCTAATCTAAACCCAGGAAGGAATTATATTAAATGTCAAGTGAACAGGAAGGAAAGGTTATAGTGCAATGTAGATCTGTCAATATCTGACCCACACCTTTCTAATATCATTTTGGAGACACTTGTCATATTATTAGGCTAACTGTGAGATTTCCTCAAGGGTTAACAAAAACAGACAGCATTAATTTGTTATTTTTGAAATGAGGGATTATTAAAAAACTTGCAAGTTAGATTTTTGTCTCCAGTTGCGACAACTATCTCCTTTTTCTGGAGGGTCTCAAAGTGGGGAATCCACTTTGGTGTAGGATATCTGATGTGAGCGATCTTTAAAGAGCAGTGTGCGAACATCTGTCCAGTTATCTTGAGCTGTGTGTGTGTGTGTGTTAGCTGGTCCCACTGAGTGATCCTCGTCTTGTCAGGCTCTGCGTGCTGGAGCTGAGGCCTCGAACATCTGTCAAACGGCTCGACTGAGGAACAAAACAAAAACACACAATAGGTGTTTGAGTGTTACAGATTTCTGTGACTGAATGTGCGGCTACAGTCAAAAGTATTTTAATCACTTAATGAGGACATGTACATGACTGAGGGTTGTAGCCGTGATTAATGTTGCATTTATTGAGACTAATCCAGAACTGACAAACACAAAACAAATGTAGTTTCTGTTTGTGGGTCTTCTGAAAATTTCTTACATGGCTCCCAAAATTTGTTTGCCTTTTTATAGATCACTAAATTAAAAAACCTGGCAGAATTACTACTCCAAGAACACATTAAACTGATTGAATCACCAACAGTCTCCTCACCTGGGCACTGTCCTGACTCTCTCGGGCTCCAACATTCAACACATTCAGAGAGTTTGCCCTCTTCATACTGAAAACGGAACAGATTATCACAATGAACTCTTGGTCTTTATAAAAAGGGGCATAATGTCACTAAACACACATAAAACTGTGACTGCTGATTTGGGGAAAGGAAGAGCTGTTGAGGAAAATGCACTCATTTAAGGTTTAACAGTTTAAAAGTACATCCAAAGCAAGAGCTGTGTCCGCATTCTCTGCAGCAGGTCAGGACTCGTTCCAGGTGGTGTTTGGCCTGAGAGTCCGCTTTGATATTCATGCATTCGCTTTACCAAACTGTTGGGACGAAAAGACAAAATTAACTGGTAGATCAAGAGCTGACTGAAAGAATAGATCACGGGTACAAGAGCCCAAAATGGATTTTCTCAGGAGAGTGGCTGGTGTCTCTCTCATAGGGCGAGAAACTCTGTGATCCGTGAGGAACTCAGAGTAGAGCTGCTGCATTTTTTGCGCCTCCCTAGAGAGGTGGTCCAGCCACGTTCAGCAGAAAGGAGGCCTCGGGGAAGACCTAGGACTAGGGGGAGCGATTTTATCTCCGCACTAGCCTGAGAACAGAGCTGGTTAATGTGGCTCAGAAAAGAGAAGTTTGGGGCCCCCTGCTGGAGCTGCTGCCCCCTGAAAAGCGGTTTAAGATGATGATGTGTCTAAAAGTGTATTTTTCCCAGACGGAGTTCTTAATCTACACAATAAAATATGAAGAATGTCCACTATTTTTAAACATCACATCAGCATAATGTTGTTTTTAAAATTGATTGATAGGAGATGTTTCTTAAACTTTAAATTCAAAAACAAAACCAGAGAAAATCCATGAGCAAAAAAACTTGTGTACTGAATGGATCTTGTTTCAGTGCACAGTGATGATTAAACACCTTTGTAATATAATATTACCCAACACTCCTCTGGGTCGTTTCCTCCACTCCGACTCCTTTCAACTTGCGGACCAGTTTTTCGCTGCTTCGGCGTATCGACTCTCTGAGTTTAGTAAAGGAGCCGCTGCGTTTCAGGTTACTGAGTCCGTCTTGTCTGGAGCCGGCGTCCTCTGCACCGGACCAGCTGGGACGACCTTCACCTGGAGGACGAACAGACAGAATTACAAACGGTAACAAACCAACGTATAAATGTAGAGTCTGCAAAAACAAGGTCTCTGTGTTTGTTTTCTTATCTCTTCTATCATGCGTTTTGAAAAT